TAACAGGCAAGTTGGGTGAACAATGCTGAAGGTAAATCGATGGCTGGCATCAAATTTCAGGAAACGCTTTAGTACTTTTCCTGATTCGTGTGGCATTTTCATGGACAACGCCTTCCTCCGATTAACTGTTTTAAGGTTGCGCAGTGAAGTGAGTGAAAAGAAAGCTAAATGGTTCCTTGTCGCTTCCTAATAGTGGCTTATGGTTCTCTAGTTTTTTCCCTGTCTTTTATCACCCGGGGAACCTAGAGATGAAACATGACAAGAAATCATCTAAGATGCCCCAGTTTGGATGTGGAGAGAGCTTCACACCTTAAAAAATACACTCAGCCAAGTAAGTTAATGGGCGATAGACAGTCATGTAGTGTCACATTGTAACTTGAAATTAAGGTGCCGAATTTTCTTCCAACACTTCCATTGTTTGCCAATGTGAGTGTATTTTGCCGTAGCGTCATTAGATGCTTACAAGTATACGGCAATGTTTATAGAAGTTTTTGTGCCTGCCAAAAATACCCTCCGAAGACATAACGTGAGAATAGTTAAACTTATTGATGTGGAAGGCCACCAACGCACCTACAGCTTGCAGCGGTGAATCGACCACTTTAAAGCCGTACTGTCCATTAAAACATTTCGTATTCGAGAGCAGACAAGTTAGTAAGAAAGTAACATGGCCAGGTGGACACGGCAGTTTACGCAGATGCTAAGCTGGAGTGGCGTTTCTGATGACAGGCCTCCGCTAACATCCACTGACAATTCCCGTAAAATATCAGAGGCGATTTATGTGCGTCTAGTAGAAAGTCTGCCGCAGGCACAATTGTATCTGCATTGCAAGACAGCGGCAGACGAGTCAAGTTGCACTCCACAAATGTTTAAACCAATGCATGCAGATTTAAGTCTAGGCGTAACATGAATAGGTGTCAGCAGCTACTGTTTGAGATAAAGACGGTAACTTTAAATACCTGTGTGTGTGTGTGAGGTCCAGGAAATTCAGAGTTAAATCCCAAACTTAAGATTGAATTTTGGAAGCATAGCACTTCAAATAATGGTGGAGATGTGAGGTGTAAGAGGTGATTCAGGGAATGGCATTGGCAACTGGAGCTCAGCTAAAGGGGACCTTTCACCACTTCGCGATGTTAACAGACCTTGTGTTGTGAGCGTCCAAATTAAGCGCAAAAACTTGCACGATTTCAACAAAACACCTGTGAATCCAGTCATAAAATTTACGGAGGGCCACAGTAGCATTAACAAAAACGTCAGGTTGCACCATAAATTATTTAGATTTGCAGAAAAGTGTAATTCAATCCAGTGCGTGTCGAGGAGGAAAGTAAGATAAGCTCGTCATCTAGACAGGAATAGGTTTGAACAATACACTAGAAAGTGGGACGAAAATTAGAGACTAGGTACTGCCTACTATTTATTGGAAGAGATTTCTAAAACTAATGGCAAGACAAAAAAATGGTCGAAGAGTCGATAAAATGATTTTTAACATGGGATCTGATCTACATGGGCGATTGATTGCAATCAAACATACTGCGCCCTATTAAACAGACAAAAATTGTTACAGGTACAGAGAACAGAGAAAAAATAGAAAATGAACGAAAACTCACCGAATTGAATGCATGACCTAAACGAGGTCCATGTCCTCAACCCTTTGACGATTTGCTAAAATAAACCTTAAAACTAGTCCAAATG